ATGTATTTCCAGCAGATATTTGAAAGAGATGGAAGGGGAAGAAGGCAGAGCGGCTGCTCCAGATGACAGGCTGCAAAGAAGAATGATCCAGCACTTGCAGCACTGAGACTGAAATAGGATAGATGGACGTGCAGTTAAAGTACTCATGCGGGACTTGGGTGGAGTCCCATGTGCTTCTACAGACTTCTTGTGTTACCTTAGGCAACCCAGTCTCACCGCGCTTCATCCATTATTACGCGGTACCTTGTGTAGCCATATGTAGCTGTGCACTCTGGCATAACAGCATGTGCAAAGAGCAGGGCAAAAGTGAATTGCTTCAAACTGAACTGATGAATTGTTACTGATATTTATTTGTATTACAGCAGTACCTAGAAGCGCTTGTCACAAACTGTGACACTGTGTTTTGTTGTACAAACTCAGGGTTAAAAATACAATTAATACATTAATGACTCTGAAGCACTCAAGTACTATCTTGATGGAGGCCACATAAGCACTCAAAACACAGTGACCATGAAAATAAACCAAAGGGCTGGTGGTAGATGGGAAGGAAATGAAAGAGAAATAGTGGAAAATAAGGTTTGTGAAATGAATTGGAAAACATTTAAGCTCCATGGTCTTTGAGTCTAGAATACTTTCAGATCTGCTCTAAAAAATTATGAGGGGGAGAGCAACCTGACTGTTCAGTAGCCCACCTGCATTTCTGCCCAGTACGGCAGACCAACAAACAGCTTAACCCTGGCATCTCACGAACCACCCTGCCTAGAAAGCAATGCTAGGCATCACTGGACAACTGGGAAGGGTTCTTCCTCTCCGCTACTGCATAGTAAAAGTTGATTCAGTCAATACCAGACCTTAATTCTGATCATTTTGGCTTTCTCTCCCCCACTTCAATTCTAACCACATTTTTAAGGCTATTTTCTATGATTATTAGAATTAAACTAAATAATCTATCTTCTGAGCTTTTGTGATTTATTTTGAAAATGGTAGGAACTAATAATTGCTGAATATTTTATAAGTTTATTTGGTCTTTCTACTATAAACTGCCCTGGGCCTTAATATATGTAAATATCTAAATAAATCTAATAAAAATAACTAAAACCCTACAAGAACACTGCCTCTTAAACTACTGGGTATGCTGTAAGATAGCAATCAAAATGACTTGATTTTAAAACAAGCGTATCCTCCTTATTGGCTGCCATATGTTAATTCAGCTCAGTAAAATCTGTTTCTTCACAAAATGTAGAGAAATGTTAACTGTTGGACATCAGCTATGAATTCTCCTCCCAGGGAAGCCAAAGATAGTTGGATGCTATAGGCTGCTAACACCACAATATATTCCCACGTTTGTGCACTCCAGTGGCATCATGATTCCTAGAGTTATAAATCCTAGCCTCCTGACATACATTCATTTAAAGATGCCACATGAATTGCAGGAGGCGCAATTCTGGGTTCCAGGATCAGATCCCAATAATGCCCTCTCTACTTGCCAGTGCAGGGGAAACCCAGGATCAGAGCCCGGGCTCCCCAGTGCCTGCAAGTCTGGAGCTGGGGTGATAATTATTGGCTCCAGTCCCAGGGGTGCACAGGAGTCTTGACCTGGCCCCAGTGTGATCCGGGGCCAGAGCCAACAATCAGCTGATCATCAGCCCCAGGACCAGACATACCATGGGTTCAATTTAAAGAGCCTTGCAAACCAACCATAAAAATGTTCTATACTATATGTAGATGTTACATGTAGAACATTTTTAGGACTGGTTTACCATTTTGTGGTGCCTTACAAGTGCATCCAATATAATACCCTTGCCATTTATGCTGCGATTGACACATCCATCGCAGCAGAACTGTAATGTGTACCAGGGGTCCTAAGGCCATTAAATCATCTACTCCAACCTTCTGAATAACATAAGATGGAGGATTACTTCTGTATTAAATGAAGAAAGTTGTGTTTGGCTAGATGACAGCTTCCAGAAAAAGAGGCATCCAGTTTTGATTTGAGGATATCACCAGATGGAAAATCCATCATTTGCATTAGGCATTTGTTCCAATGGTTAGTCACTCTCACTGCTTTTCCGCTTTATTTCTAATTTGAATTTTTCCTGCTTTAAATTCAAGCTAACGGTTCTTATTATTCCTTTTCTCTAATAAATTAAAGAAATCTTTCGAGTCCAGAGTTTTCTGTTCAGGAAGTACTTACATCTTGTTATTTAGGTCTGAGGTCCTAGCTTGAGGTCCTAGCTTGTCAGCCGCCTACCTCAGGGTAGGTAGCTTGTCAGGCTGGTGTGGTTCAAGCATACCAGGGTTTGTAGACCACAGCACGTGAAGAAACAATATGGCCAGAATCATGTCTAGTTGACTCTGACTTTCCCAGCCTGCTGACCAGTAGGCACTCACTGCTGGGTCAACAGGAGTTTCCCACTGGCACACGTCCAGAAAAAAGCTCAAACTCACACCTTTGGATCCATTGTGAAATATTGTAATCATACTTCTTATGTTATGCCTGCTGCATAGGAGCATCCTCCGAATGCAATTATGTAGAGAAAGTACCAAACTAAGCAAAATAATTATGATGAAATCCACCATGTTCTGCATCTAGCTCCACAGGACTGTCAACAAATGGAAACACAAATCACTTGTCAGAGCTGTGCATGTCAGCAGCATCACTGTGAAACTAAAACAGTGTTTCAGTCTTTTGTGGAATAAAAAGGGGGGGGCAGCGCAAACATTTTTTTCCCTGCAAGATCTGAGAAACTACTGAAGTTTCATATACCTAAAATACAGCAAGAGAAAAAAGCTATTTTGTAATTTATATTGCACCCACGATTAAAGGGATTGTGTTTCAAGACTCATTTTATGGGAGAAAATGCAAAAGTTTTAATTTCTGTTCAACAGGTGATCAGAACGAAAGATGAGTGAACGACTTCTGGTCAGGACCATGCATCACTCGAACCAAATCATCTGTATGTAGTAGCATTCACCTGCCCCATCCTTTGCACTAGCACATATGCTGGGGTGTCTTTTCTGCACTGGGTGGAAGAGGAGGCTGGGTGTCTGCTTGCCTCGATGAGTTGCACCAACGCGTGATCCATCCAGTCACCCCTTAACAAAGGCATGAGAATTTAACAATAGCGTATATGTAGATGCGCGAGTGTATGTGCAAGACGACATGAGTGAAGGCATGCATGTTGCAAAGACAGACCTCGGTCTGCAGGTGACAGTTTGCAACTGAGCTTGTACATGAGAGAAGAAATGTAAGAAGATGTGTATGAGCATGACAGTTCTTGAGTGAATGTGGGACAAAGTGCGAACATGTGCAGGTGGGCCAGCAGTCCGCAGATGGTAGCTTGCAGAAGACCTCCAGCATTGCTCAAGCTGTGGGGATTTCCTTCCGATGGCCAGAGGAAATTCAGTCAGAACTGCAGTTTACGGGTTGGGTTTTCTTGCATCCTGTTACCTGCTCAGTATCGTTATCCAAAAACCGTCAAAGGTTGGGGTAGGAGGAGCCATGTGATTGTAGGAGTGTGGAAGAGTAGAGACACAGCATATAGGGGACTTGAAGAGAAAGGCCCATGATTTGACTCCCGAGACAAATGCAGTCACTTTTGGGTTCCCTCTGTGTTACACTTTACAGCAGTGTTGGGACAGAGTTACGATTCCTGTGTGTCCACGCACCGTTGTGTTATTACAACATTGTTTTGCTCTGCCTGTGCAACGGAGGCCCTAACTTTCTTACCATTATAATCTGATAGGAAGAAAGTTAGGGCTTGACTAATGGATTAGGGAAATGTTAGGGAATTATTCTTCACTCCCGATCTTCCCCCAACGAGAACAATACTCTCATCATATAAATATGACAGAGTTTATTCCCTGCTAAGAAAGGAAAACTGTAGCCCTCAATTTGGTTGTAACTATGACATAGATAGAGTCAGGATGCTACACTAAAAGATGCTTTATAAATGCAGATTCTTTAGATTAATCTGATCAATTGATCTAAGGCTGTCTCCCCTTTCCTACTGGATAGGTAGATGACATTCTGCTTCTCATTAGCTCTTGGAATGTCACGCTCTCAGCTGAAAAATGTACTACCCTGACTTTATTTTCTGATGGTTACAGAGAGAATAGCATTGAGATGAGCACCCATATTTTAACAATGTTGTTTCAAAACATCAAATCACCCAAAGGCAAATCAAGACAGTTCTCTACCTGTCCAAGCAAATATGTTAATTCAGGTGAATTTAAATTTTGGAAAACCTGCAAAACAAAAGCCATATCTTCTGTTGCCCTGTTTATAATTGCCCTGATTTTAATGAACCCATGCTAATTTGCATTGGTAAAGAGTCTGACCCTTTACTGTCATCAAAGTTTGGGGTGGGGCTTTCGGGGGGGGGGGGGATTTGTAGAAGTAGGGGGAAGCTCCCCTCATGCTTTTCAGTTTCTTCAGCTTCACTCTTAGTTATCTGTCAAAACTCAACAATCAGAAATGCAAAAGTCCTGGTGCAGAAATGGTGACTAAAGAGCCTACCAAGGTACCACTAAACTTGCTGTTATAGAGCATAAGTCACTGCCTTGATAATCTAGCGCTACACTGGTGGATAGCACAAAAATGGAGTAATCCAGAGAGGAATCAGGTCCAAAACGGCCGAGGCAAAATTATGCTGATAGAAAAGAAAGGGCCCACTTTTTAAAGTCAAAGGGAGTTTTCCCTGAATAAGATTTTTTTGATCTGTTCTCTCTTTCTCCCTCTCTGTTCTCGTTTACTTTTGTTTTCCTTACTGTGCTCTCTTTACCTAGGAGTCCCAATCAAGGGTACACCCCACCTTGAATACTGTGTGCAGTTCTGAGCTCCCCACATCCAAAAGGATAGAGCAGAACTAAAAAAGTACAGAGAAAGGAAACAAGGAGAGACTTCCCTACGAGGAGAGACTATGGCTAGGACTTTTCAGCTCAGATATAAGATAACTGAGCGAGGTATAACATAGGTCTATAAAGTAATGAATAGGGTGAAGAAAGGAAATAGGTATTTATTATTTACCATCTCTCACAATACTAGAAGTAGGGAACAAACAATGATATTATTAGGGAGTGTGTTTAAAGCAAAACAAGAGAATTTTTTCACATGCGTCATTTACTTGTGGAACTCATTGCCACAGGAGGTTGTAGTGGCTGATAATTCACTTTGGTTCAAAAGAGGATTAGGCAGACTCATGCACTTAACAGGACAGTAGGCCTGTAACCTCCAAAATCAGATTTCCTAAGCCTCTCAATGCTGTAAGCTGTAAGAGAAGAGGGGAAGGAGACAGGTCAGTCTGGAGAGGCCCTGCATAAGTACTCTTCCCCCTAGAATCGACTCTGTCACTGAGATACAGCACACTGTGCTAGTGGACCTGGGGTCTGACCCAGTATGGCATCTCATATGTTCTTATGACTTCAGTTTGCTGGACACCGTACATATTTCCCCCCTCCTCCCTGCCCAAAAGGCAGTCTGCATCACATGTCTTCATCCACTCACTTCTCCTTTATGTGCAATTTCTGCTTTGATCTCTCGTTCCTGCCTCCTTCTTCTCTATTTCTATCTCCTTCTCCTTTTCGATTCTCTATTTGTACCCCCTCTCCCCCTACTGACTCTGCTCTCTCTGCCTCTCTCATTGGTCTCTCTCATGTTCTTTGCTGCCACTTCCTTACCTCAGGATCACAAAGAAGGTGAGATTTACCCAGATGGGTGCTGCTGAGTAAAAGCCTCTTCCTTATATTCCCAAACCTAGCGTGAAGTTGCGAAGGACCGGTTCTGAATCGAGTTCAGTGGTTCTCAACCTTTTTTAGACTCAAGGCACCCTTGTCAGATTCGAGGCACCCCTCAGAAAATGTCAATTCTTAGTTTTCACTCATTATTTGACTACAGAAAAATAATGCAAGTCTTGTGTTGCAAAGAACTCAGAAAGACCCCAACAGAGCAGAATGCTTTTAACACTATGAATTCCTGTTTGAAATCTCTGGGCTTATCACACAAATCAAATTTGCACACCTAACAGTGCTACCATTGTGCAGCACCTTGCAGCACCCTTGCAAGGCTCTCAAGGCACCCCTGAATCACAGCTGGTTGCGTGCTGTTGCCAGCATGGAGAGGGGGAAACTTCAGCAAAGTTGTCAAAGTTGATTCCCTGCTGCAGCTGACTCCTCAAGAAAAACTGTACAAGGATTTTGTTAGCACATCCTCTCTGATTAAGTTAGTCTGTGAACCACCACATTGCCCAGCCTTCTATACAGGAACGTTCAATGAAGGCAAATGGCCAAGACTTCAGCAGTCTAACAGGAGAGATTTTCTTGTGCAACCAGTCAGTCCTGTGTTACAAAATGGTATTCTCAATTCTATATCGCCTGCACCTTAATAAATGACTGGATATAATTTTCTGGGGATATCTGAGTCTAATTCATGCCATAATGTGGGAGGGTGGGGGGGGGGGAGAAAGAGAGGACTAGGTAACCCACTAAAGCAGGGGTAGGGAACCCCCGGCACAGGTGCCAGAGTATAGCACGCAAAGGCATTTTGCTTGGCGCACATGCCTCAGGGCGGACGGCAGGGAAGAGGCTGGCACTGCGCTGCCAGAACAAGGATCGAGCGCCGCACGGCTCCCCTGCCATCTGCCCCTGGCATGCCAACATCTTACAAGTTGTGGGTATTTTTTGGGACTCTGCCCAAAAACGTCACTGAACCCTGCACTAGAGGATCCCTTCCAGCTTGAATTATTACATAATGGACCAACTTAAGATGTCTTTTGAATGTATTCAAGGCAGCCCGAGTCCTCCACATCTTAACGATGAACTGAAAAGCTTTTGTATAAAATGAAAAATAATTTTTTCAGAGACTGAGTCGTTAGCAGAGTGCGTAAGACGACTTCACGTTTACAACCGAGTACATTTCAGCACCAAATATTTGAAAATCAGGTTAACTTTCACTTTCTTGCCTGATTTGGGGCTTTGTACTTTTCTTATCATAGATTATTTAATCAGAGCTACTCAGTGCTGCAGAGTGCAGGAAAAGGACTGCTTTTCTGTTCAAGGTGCTTTTAGCATTCTGATATCCTCACATGAACGGTAATAGAGAAGTACAAAATATATATGTGTTCATCTAGGGCTCTTCACCAGAGGATCTACAGGTTTTCACCGCTGTGAAGTGGATTAATATTAGCATACACATTTACATAGAAGGAAATTGAGACTCAAAAGGAATTAAGGTCCCACAAACCCCGTGGAAAAAAATCTGCTAATTGACAGAGTGACCTCAAGCCCACCAAAGCTTGTGCTATACATCTTCTTTAGTCTATAAGCTCAAATCTACTCTGCCTTCTACATGACATGTATGTACTACTATGACTACAGACCTACCTCTCTCTACTTACACATGCCAGTGTCCAACACCGTTCAGCATAACAATACAGGAGCGACCAAACCAGACTCTTGCATTGCTAAGTCATGATACGGAGGAAAAGGACTCTGGTCCAGATCCAAGGTACACAGATACCTGACCTGATTTCAGGAGGAGTTAGGTGTCTAAGCAGGGATTAGGCAACAAAGCATGCTTTAGGATCCAGGCTCTTTTTGCATGCGCTCAATATACCTCCCAGCGAAGTCAAGAGGAGTCTGCCTACTGACTTCAACAGAAACAAAACTGGGGCATTTCTGCTCTGAAGGGCAAGGGCCCGCAGCAGAAAACTGCCAAGGCATTTGCCTCCCAGGGGCTGGAGTAACTTGCATGGTAGCAACCTGATTCTGCAGGGGCTCCAAGTACGGACATGCCCCATTTCAGCTAAGGAGAAGAGAAACAACTCGGCACCTCTGATAGAAAACAAACTGGAGCGCACACCTCCCAACTAGCAGGCTGCTCTCTGCGGCTACAGCCTGCTCCTGCCGGGGACGGGAAAGGAACCGACTGAGGATTTTAAACGCTAGTGTATTTATAATTGCCGTACCTATCCCCGGGTCCGCTCTGCCTTCCTCGCAGGGGCCACAGTCACGGTCCCTCTGGCATCCAGTGGCTTCTACACAATGTAATTCCTCCTAATTTAATCCACTTTGTTATTGCAAAACTTGCCAGACTATTAAATGACATCAAATCGAAACACTTTGGGCTGACACGTATGGTTACACAGAGTCACCGAACAGACCATCTTTAATAGCACGAGGTACCGAATGGTCACGTATGGCATTTCAGCAGCAACAGCCATCTTTTTACATCTTTGCACTAGTCAATATGTTTCCGCAGCAAGTTTGCACCGACAGCCCCTCGGGACCCGGCTCCTGCAGGGACAGCGCCGGTGCCCCCCAGATGCGGATGCAGTTTAGGCTTTTAGCGACATCGCAGGTCGCTCGGCTGGTGCCGTCACCCTCCACGGAGACGGGAGCCTCGCCAACGGTACGTTCCCTCCAGCAAAGGTAAGACAGCGCGGCGCAGCACGCAGGGAACGGAAATACACCCGGCCGGCACCGAACGCGCCCGAGGGGTGCTCGCCGACACGGGGCACGTTGTAGCCCCGCACGGTGTTGTCTGTCAGAGCCGCGCCGGTGTCACGCCTGAAACGGGACGGTCGTCCCCAAAAGTACGACTCACAAGTCCTGAAGTTGGAGGGTGCCCGTGCAGGGGTGGGGGGGGTGCCCTCCTCGCCCTCCCCCTCCACACACACACACACACACAC